TGCCTACTAAAGTTTTTTGGTTAAAAAAAAAAAATGGGGGGGGCATTTTTTTTTTTTTTTTTTTTTTTTAAATAATTTTCTGGTATTCTTTGTGACTCTTGCAGAAGACATTTCACAGATGTATATTCATCTTTTTCTTTGTTAGTTTCCATAATGGAAAAAGGAAGCACAGTTTTCAACAGTGCCCAAAGGCTGGAAGTTGTTAGAAACTGCATCTCGTTCATTTTTGAAAACAAATTTTTGGAGACCGAAAAGGTAATAAAATGAAATTTTAACTCTCCCAAATAAGACTTTATTCTATTAATGAGCAAATGGAGACTGACCTGTCACAAAGTACGTTTTCAAGTAATTTCAAATACTAATGATTATTTTAACCATTTAAATAAATGAAGTACGCAATTGATTAGCAGTATTGATTAGGAGGAATGTGAAAAAAAGGCATACATAGACATTTCAGTGTTTGTCAACAAATGCTCTTCAGTACATTTTCAGTACAGTAAATTTTGCTGGTTTTAAAAATGAATAATTTGATAGAACTCAGAGATGAATGTAAATATCTGGCATGTCTGTCTTCACTAAAATGTACTAGTGACTTGTCATCCTTGACACTTTTATTTTTTCACGTTAAGAAGTTGCCAGGTTTTGTACATTCTATCCTCAGAGTTTTCAATTCTTGATTCTAGAACAATCACCCAAACTTACTCTCAAATCTAATTCTACATATGCAAATGACTGTAAAATTATTTTAAGCAATTTTTTGATTTCTGAGAAAAGTATCACCTTTATATCTCTGAGACTGTGCAGCTCAAGATAGAAAATGAGCATTTCTTGATTTAAAAGTTATGTTACGGAAATGCATATGGGAAAAGTCCTAATAAAATGTGTAGCTCTCTTTAGAGTTTTGATGCATGTGTAACCACGGTAGTTTTTAACCTCTTTCAACTTACAGGCACTTGGAAAATTTCAGTAGTGTTTTGTCCCCCTGTATGATAAATTTATCCTTAGACAATAGGCTGCCTTTTCTTATTTATCTGTTACCACCCATTAAATCTAGTCTAAAGGGCCACAGTTGATAATCATTGATGTAGCGCTTGCTGCACCTTTAAAGCATTGGCATAAATATTATGTTGACACTGTTTTAGGGTAAACTGCGTAACAGCCTTGTGGCCTCATTGCTATGAGAGATATGCCTCTTCTAAAGCCATTTGTCATTCACTGCTTATCAAAAAACATGCTGGTTGGCCTTGATATGCTAACTCGAGACATGGCCTGGCTGGTACAGAATAGAGCACTTGCTTTCTTGCACAATAATCCATTTCTGATTTCACATCCGTTCAATGCCTGTCCATATTCAATCATTTCTATTTACAGATGTAGGTGAGAAATGCTGTTTAATGCATTTGAAAAAAAATGGGAAAAATTTAATACTTAATGACTCGAGCTAAACCAACCATTATGGGAAAGTTTGATATTCAAGCTAGTGAGTCATTTCCAAAGGTATTATTTACTATACTGTCACTTGCAGTGTCTTAATAAAGAATGAATGATATTCAGTACGAATAATGCCATTTAATTTCGTTTTCGTAAAGTTAGATTTTCTTGTCTCCAGACACTGCCTGCAGCTCTGAGAGCCCTAAAAGGAAAGGCAGCTCGGCACTGCCTGACACAGGAACTAGGCCTGCATGTTAAACAGAATCGAGCAATACTGGACCATCAGCAGTTTGACTACATTGTGCGAATGATGAACTGTGCTTTGCAGGTACAGTATGTGAAGGTTTTGTTCTTTGGTTGTCATTGTTATTATGATAAGCCAAAAATTGTTTAGAGTGATGTGGAGAAGCAAAATAAATTACAGGACCACGTACTACAATGATGTAGCAGATCGTACTTGACAGTGGATTTAAGGTATTTTGTTGTTGAAAGGATAAAGGAGAAAACACTCAGGTCTATACGGATCTGCCTGATATGAAAACCAAAGAAAACTGTTCCCATTATTCATAATTTAGTTTTGGTAAGTATTGAAGTGATTTATCTTAATGGCTTTAAGTACTTTTTTTAATGAATGGATGTTAGCTTTTCCAGGTAATTTTCAACTCTGAGCTCCTAAATGTGTATTACCCACTGCTCAGTTGAAAAAACCGTACGTTTGTCTTCTTTGTCATCACAAGTGTGAACATACTTCAAGAAGAAACCATACTTTCTGCTTCCATGGTTCATGGTGGTAGTTCTACTTGTCATGGTGACATCTTACTTGGTCAGAAACTCACTGAAGGTGTTTGCAGTTCATCTGCTAAGTTATTCTACTGTTAAATTAAATAATTTTGTGTTGAATAAACATACGGTGGCAGCTACCTATGAGAGTAAAATACATGGATGACTTCTGACTTTCATTTGAATAATTGTTCTGTTTTAGCTTTACTTGTTGGCAGTTCATTGTCAGAAATATTCTACAGTGTTTTCAGTCTGATATCTGAGAATGTAGTAGTATTCTTTTTAATTTGTAATGTGATCACATTTGGTTATAATTTGCCTCTTGTTGCCCCTGTGTAAGTTATTTTATCAAATTAGGGATTTGATTGAGACATTGGTATTTTAACTGACTCTCCTCTAACCTGAAAACTGTTGAAATTATTTTGCAGCAGTTTGTTTTTAAAAAAGTGAGTGCTAAATACAGCTTTCACTTAAGTATAGAAATAAATTAACATTGACTGAGCAAATGCAACTCAGGTCACCATCAAATGTAAGTTTTGTTGTCTATTGTATTTCTTGTTTGTTCACAGTAGATATTTTTCTACTGTTTGGAACAAACTTCAACTTTGCCTGAACAGTGGTCTTTGGAGTAAAATTACCTGCAGTTAGCAGATGAAAACTGAAGTCGACTGGCTAAAATTGCACAGGATGTACCAGAGTGTGCTTTTTTGATACAGGCTTTGGCCTTTTCCAAGCTCTAAGTTTAACCTCAGAGCTGGAAGAAAAATTGAAGTTATCTGTGAAACTGTATTTGTCTGCCCAAAATCATGACCAATGGAATACTGCACCTGCTGTGTATTCCAGAGTTAGAAATTTCATTTCAAACCAGAAAACAGAATTGTCTAGATGCGCCACAGATATTGCTTCTACTTTTTTGATTGTTCCTGAGATAAAAAAAAAATCAAGATGTTTTTAGACAATAGGAACAAAATACAAATCCCCTTTGTTTGCTCTTAGTACAAAACAGATGGCAGAAGAAAATGGGGAGCTGAGGAAATTTCCTTTGCTGAGGAGAGAAATACTGACATCACCTTTTAATAAAGCAATAAAATCCAATTTTTCTCTACGAGAAAAATGTTATTTTTCTTCCCAGTGATTTGAAGACCCAAGAAGGACTTTAATGTTCATAGAAATGAATGTGTCTGAAGTCTTACTGAAGTTAAAATAGAATGTTTTTTTCTCAATAAAACTAGCAAACTCAAATCATGCAGAGGAAACAGATAGATCAAGTAAGGAGGCACAGTTTTTATGCTTTTTTCTCCCCAACAGTATTTTCACGTCTTTGAAAATATAAAATGAAACTTTCCATTTCTCAGGAGTAAGCTTGGCCAATATGAAAACGTCTGAACTCCTGACACTGGGCAGCTAGTTAGAAGCAAGTATTTAGTACATCTGCTTTTATGACGTGTGAAATTATTTATTAAGTTAAAAGCATGATTTATAACTTGTCTGTGCACTTTGTTCAACTGTATTATTTGGAACAATGTGTAAATTGTGACATTTTGGAGCTTCCCTGTATTGGTTCAAGAAAAAATACATTATCAAGAACTTGAGTAGGTTTGTCTTTGCTGCAGTGGGACTCAGCAAGTCAGCATTTTGCTGTAGAGACATGAATTCTGCTAGCTGCAGGTCATAAGACCAAGTAATTTAAACAGTGTCTGTTAAAAAGATAAAAAAAACTAATTTAAGAAATGTGGTCTTAACTGTAGATGCATTCAAGCTTTAGGATAATACCACATTAATTATGATGGAATTTTGGGGGGAGGGTTAGATTGCAGTATTGTTTCAAGACCTCACCAAACTATTGGAATTGTATAAACTGTCGGTCATACCACTGAACGTCTCGTCACAGATTTTTCTGTTAATGTTATTGCACGTTCCCTTGGCTTCTGTAAGACACAAACTAAAATATTGCTGTGGCCAGGAGGCGTATAGCAGCTGATACAAAAGCTGAGAAGAAGGGAAGGCCCTGGGCATAGTCGCTAGGTTGGGCAGAGCCCTGGCGCTCTGCTGTTCACGCTGGGCTGAGCTGGGATGTGTGCGCTGCAAGCCCCAGCCTGGTGGTTTTCCGTGGGAAATACCAGTCTCTGCTGGCTCACTTGCTCATGCAGATAGGAAATCTGATGCTCCCCAGCCACCAAACCTCTGCTACTGATAATGTGAATTGTTGCAAACCATGTGTATTTCAAGAGGTACAGGCTGGCCGTTTCTGAAAGTGTCCTTTGAACAAGAAACTCTATTATTGGCATGTACTGAATTCTTTCTTACTGGGAACAGTGCCACATATTACAAAACCAGGAAGACTGCATTCTGCAAGTTTATTGCAGATCCCTCTGTTACTATTTGAGATTTTCCTAGTTGTTTAGTGTCAGGTTTTTTTCTTTTAATAGAATGTACTCTCTTGCTTTACTGGAGTCCATAAAAATAAAGGTCAGATGCTTTTTCGGAGCTTCTGTATACTCATTTTGTAGATGAAGAGCAGTACGTTAGCAAAATGCTAGTAACAGTCCCACCATGTATATTGTTGCTGATCTGTTATATCTGGTGTGACACACCGGCTACCGCAGTGCTTGAGAATAGATTAAGGAAGAGGAATAAAATATTCATACCATTGCTTCAAGTTAATAGCTGTTTTATTTTAGTGAAAAATTACTTAGGCTGTATTTCCCCCAGTATCCAATCTCTACAGCCATTTTGCAACTGGGAGGAAGGGAGGGTGGTATTTTACGAATTTCTCTAGAGATGTCAAAACTTGGGCTTGCCAGATATCTGGTGTTCGTCAGCTTGAATTTCTCAGTCCAAAAGTGGCATTCTTTTGAACTATTCTTCTTTAGACTATTTACAGTCTGGAGGTACTGGGCAGGACCTCACTGCAAATTTTTAATAGGCCTACGATCTATAGAATAGTACAATAGAATTTCAGATTAATTTGCCCTATTTAGCGGCTAGGCAGCTGCATGTCAAGCCTAGTGCTAGACCTTAGGTGGCTTTACAAATACAGTTAATGTAAGGCATGATGCAGTAAGTCAACGCTGAAGTGTTAAAAACATGCTTTACTGTGTCTTTTTGTGTCTAGGAAGTACTGACAATCTACTGAGGCTGAAATTAAAACGAAGGAAGCATTTCTGATTGTTCTTAGTAGTACGAAGATCAGAATGACATGGAGATTGTATTGCTCACTGATTAAAGCAGATGTCTTCTGATGAGGGCAATTAAATTCCCAGTTATTTGCTTTTATCTCTTCTAGGCATTGTCACTGGCCACTTGCTAAAAACTTTATTGTCATGCCCTAAGTAAGAAGTTTTCCACTGACAAATCATATACTCTGAAAAGCATTTAAATCAGCCTCTATTACACCAATGATTAATATCTGTGATGGCAAAGCAGAAGTATTATGTTCTGTTCCATATGTTATATAACTAAATTACTTTTAAAAACCATCTGCAGTGTTGTGAAAGGTTAATATATTGATTGACAATTTATTCATACAGATAGCACTGTAATGAGGAAAATGTGAAATTATTTCACTAGAAACTATTGCTGTGGCATTTTGTATCTGCTGCTGTGGCTACCTCAGAATAATTTGCAATTACACACAAATTCCTATTTTAAAAGTGTTTTTTTTTCTCTTTAATTTTCTGTAATGAAATGCTTTTCTCCAACATTTCAGAAAAGACTACGTTACTTTTTTGCAACCAAAAAGTATTTTTTACCAGAGAAACACCTCTTCTATGTAGTTATGTTTCCAGCAACACATTGGATTTTTAATACCCATTAAGAAATAATGGCAAAAGCCATCTCAAGGCTCAATTTGCATACTGCTCCATTAATTTATTACAAACAACATGACTTGTCCAGATTTTCAGTTGTCTCGCTGACTTTCCTCTGACAACAGCAAGTGAACGCTGTGTTTTGAAACATAGTAGCAGTTAATTTGATAAAATGTCAGTAAAGGCGAAAAGAGGCCTGAAGGTGGTAACTTCTCGCACTGTGTATGTGGAGCGTACTTGATAGTCAGAAACAATTTTTACATTAAAAAGACATTCTAAACAATTTGTGTAAAATACTTCACAGTAAGAATAAGGCTTCCTAAAAAATATTTTCTCTGGGGAAAGATTCTCTTCAGATAGTGCAGGACTATGAACTAGCTTCCTTTGGTAAACCGTTCATTTAAAAAGAAAAACTCCAAAACTACAATGTTGCAATATAACATTTTCTCTGTAAAATGTTGGTCAGTAATATTGCCTAACTGCATATTAATGCTTTTCTTTGGAAATGTGGGTCAAATTGGAAAATATATGTGCCCCAGACATCTGGAGTACTTAATCTAAAAGTGGATAGAGTGGGAATAAGGTGCATAAAACAGTTAAATACATAAATACTTTCAAAATTCTGGTCTTTAGGCGTAGGAAAGAGGTGGGATCTTCTAATGATGTGATTTAATCCGACAACCTGCAAAGTCATCAGTGCTGTTTTAGGGCCTGGTTTGCTCCAATGTCACATCTGTGT